TCCTGCTCCTCTGATGCTGCCTGGCCTGCTGTGTTCCTCCAGTTCCACACTAAATGGTATGTTGGCCTTCATTACAAGAGGTTTCAAGTAGAGGAGCAGGGATGTCTTGTTGCAGTTTTACAGGGGCTTGATGAGGCCACACCTAGAATATCGTATGCAATTTTGGTCTCCTTCTCTGAGGAAGGATGCTGTTGCTCTCGAGGGGGTGCAGTGGAGCTTTACCAGGCTGATTCTGGGAATGGCAAGACTGATGTATGAGGAGAAATTAGCTAGGTTAGATTTGTTTTTGCTGCAGTTCAGACGAATGAGGGGCATTCTCATAGAGACTTATAAAATGCTAACAGGACTAGACAGGAAAGATGCAGGGAGGATATTCCCGATGGTGGGTGTGTCCAGAACCAGGGGTCACAGTCTGAGGATTCGGGGTAGACCATTTAGGATGGAGATAAGGAGACATTTCTTCACCCAAAGAATGGTGAGCCTGTGGAATTTATTGCCACAGGAAGCAGTTGATGCCAAAAAATTGAATGTATTCAAGAGGTGGCTAGATGTAGCACTTGGGGCAAATGGGATCAAAGGTTATGGGGAGAAAGCAGGATTAGGTTATTGAGTTGGATGATCAGCCATGATCGTGAAGAATAGTGAAGCAGGCTTGAAGGGCCGAATGGCCACCTCCTGCTGCTATCTTCTATGTTTCTATGTAACAGTTACAAAGAAAAAATACTTGAAATTAAGCACGGGTGGGGGCTAAATAAACTTTTTGAACTAATCAGAAATGAAAAATCCAATTCAGAATATCATGCAAATTTCCTGTTAAGAAGGGTCTCTCAATAGTTAAGCTCCTTTGTTGTTGAGTGTTTCGATTATTTTCTCTTTAATCCTTTTGCTGGGTGAACTGCTCCAAACTTTTGTGACTCTGTCGTCAGTTAATGTCCATCAATTCAAAACAAAAGTAGGTACTTGAGATTAGACAAAGTTCCTGCTCCACACCATTGTGACTCTAATTCGGTAGCCCCACTGGGAGTATGAATGCATGAAGATGATAGTGGGAATAGGAATGTGCTTATATGCAATATTTCTTTCCAAATGAAAGGAAATTGGCCACTCTTTCAAAGAGCTTGCTTGCAATTGACTACATGGTCTTATTCTTTGCTGTGTAATGAATACAGCAGCTGTAGGTCAGAGGGAATGTTGATGTGCACAATCAAGTTTAGGAAAGATTCAACATTCCAGAAAATGTCATTTGGAGCTTCTTAGTTCCTTTTCGTTCTTTCTCAAATTACGCCCTTGTTTGGACTGGAAGTGTGGTATGAGAAAAGAACTGGAAAAAAGGTCACAGTTTCCAGCTTTCACTCCAGAATGATGAAATGTTCAACAGTACCAGAATTTTAAGAATTGTGACAATGAATTGTATCTACGACTGCAACTGAATGACCAGTATCGTGAAGGCTCGGGGCCTTGCTTGTTCTTTTTTACCATAGCCTCCATGGTAAATTAGTGCTGAAAAGACGCAGATGAAAAATGGTCTGATCATTTCTTATTGCTGTTTCTTTCAGAATTGGATGATGGGTTTGCGAAAAGAAATTGATCGTTATCATGAGAAGGCAGACGTGCAAGGAAATCTGAGGTATCCACTTAGACTGAAAACTTTCAACTGCAGAATAGGAAAAGTTAGTTTTTCTACAGACACACACATTTCTTAATTATTATCTCTTTCACAAACCTTTACTTAGATAGCTCTTATTCAGTGCTTTCTTTCAGTTATTTCATTGTCATAAGTGAGTTTTCATTATCTATCACATTCAGACATCAGCCTGGGGGTCAAAGAGGAATGTCTTAATTATACTCATCGTTTCTGGGTTGTGTGGCATAACCCCAGTCTTGGGTCTTTCCCATACTGTGATATTCCCAAGACGAATAACCCATTGATGAATACAGCTTGAATTCAGGCCTGCAGAAGAGCCACTTGTGTGCAGCACCCTGAAGAGAACTACTGTCCATTGTACAGTATCCATCAAGGCAGAACATTATAAGAAAAGTTGAAAGGAAGAAGAAAATATATAATTCAAAAAGAAATTGAGCTCTGAGTCATTGTGATAATTAGAACTTTCTTGGGTGAGGAGAAGGGACTGCCTGTGTCTTGTACAAAGCACATTTCATGATTTTAGGATCATTAGTTCCAGTGATGTATAAAGTTCAGGTAGGTGCAATCATCCTGAACAAACACATGGACCTTATGAAAGCTGCAAACTGCAAATGAGGTGGGAGAAATATGGGCCTGGCTCCTCATAACAGTTGTAAAGGTTGATGGAACCCATGAGTTCTCCAGCTCTGCCAAGTTTTGAAGAGACCTCAGAATCTGAGATGAACATGGCTGATGTTGCCACCTCGAAGCCTTTGCAACCTGAAGAAGAGAATTACTTACTTCTGAGATGCTCCAGGCGCAAGAGGCAAGCTACTATGCTTTACATGCTGGCCATATCTGAGGCAGTGTCAGAGACGCTACAAACAACGCCCCAGGAGGAGCTACAAAAAAAAAGAAATGGCCCATATTCTTGGACTCAGAAGGGGATTCAATCTAGTGATTATAACAAGGTCAGAATAGAATGAGTTCCCTCATTGGGGCTGTTAATCTGGTCCAATCAGGGATCCCTGGCTGACAGATTAAACAGGAGTGTCAGACATCCTGATCACTCTGAGAGCTGGCTCTGAGGCAGGTGGACCAGTGTCAGGAACTTTCCACATGTAAATAAAGGGTGACTTGGTGATGGGGTACCGGCCTCTGTGAAGTTATTTCAGTTACGGCCACCAATCTGAAAAAGAACTCTTTAATCCTCACTTGCTGTTTTCTGCCCATTACCCAATTCTCTATTCATGCCAATACACTACTTCTAAAACCATGGGCTCTTATCTTCTGACTTAACCTTTTGTGTGGTACTTTGAGGAACACATTCTGGAAGTCCAAATACAACACATCTGCTGATTCCCCTGTATCTACTTTGGTTGAGTCTTCCTCGAAAAACTCTCACAAATTAGTCAGACATGATCTCCCTTTCATGAAGCCATGCTGACTCAGCTTGATTAGATTATGATTTTCCAAATGTTCTGCTATTGCTTCCTTAATAATTGATTCCAATTGGCTTGTAAAGATAAGCTTCCTTCTTGAACTGCTGCAGTCTATTTGCTGAATGTAGAACAAAAATGCCATTGTAAGGAGTTCCAGGATTTTGATCTGGTAATACTGAAGGAAAAGCAATGTATTTCCAAGTCGTGATGGCGAGTGCCTTGGGGCGAACATACAGATAGTGGTGTTGCCGTGTAGCTGCTGCCCTTGTCCTTATAGGGAGAAGGTCATGAGTTTGAAGGTGCTGTCAAAGAACCATGTGAATTTCTGCAGTGCATCTTGTAGATAGTACACACTGCTGCCCCTGAGTATTGGTGGTGGAGGGAATAAATGCTTGTGGATGTGATACCAGTCAAGCAGGTTGCTTTGTCCTGTATATTATCAAGCTTCTTGAGTGTTGTTGGAGCTGCATTCATCTTAGCAGTATGTTTCATCACATTCATGACTTGAGCCTTGTAGATGATGGACAGACTTTGGGGAGTCAGGAGGTTACTCACTGGCTGCAGGATTCCTAGCCTTTGATCTGCTCTTTTAAGCGCAGTATTTATATGACTAGTCCAGTTCAATTTCTCATCAATGGTAACTCCCAGGATGTTGATGGTGGGGATTCATCAATTATAATGCCATTGAACATCAAGGGGAAATGGTTAAATTCTCTCTTTTTGGAGATGGTCATTGCTTGGCACTGTGTGGCATGAATGTTACTTGCCACTTGTCAGGGTCAACCATGGATATTATCCAGGTATTTTTGTCATTTGGACATGGACGGTTTTGGTATCTGAGGAGTTGTAATTTGTCTGAATATTATCAGCAGTTATCAGCAAAAACCTCCACTTCTGACCATATAATGGAAGGAAGATCATTGCTGAAACCACTGGAAATGGTTGGGTTAGGACACTTCACATCTGTGAAGAGGGAAATAATGTTTCAAGTGGACTCGAAAGTGATGGTTTTTATCCTGTTGGTAAAGGGTGAGGAGGGGCAAGTGGCACAGATGGGGGAATGCTCAGAGCAAAAGGGAATGCTGGTAGAGGAATTATATAGATGAAAAATAAGTGCTAATGGTATTAAAGGTCAGTGCTAATATCAGAACATAGGTCATCTCTACTGACAGAAACCTTTTGTGAACAAGACACAGATGGGGTTGGGGACAGAGGGGAGAAATAAGAGTCGAGATAGAAAGAAAGGTCAGCAGATTATGATTCGGTGTTGGAGGATTGTTGGTTGAGCTGAGCTGCTACTGGTGGATCTTTCTGCTGGCTTTGGCCTAACGCGAATTCAGCATACAGCCAACTGGAGCTATGATTACTGCAAGCAGCTGAGCCCAAGGTCAGGGTGTTTGGAACACAGTCAGGGTGACAGTGAAAAAGGTGGAAGAAGGAACACCAGTAAATTGGACCTTCTTTGTGAAGTGGACCCTCCTGGATTGCTGCAGGTTCCAAACAGTTGATATATTCTGACTGCAGGATTTCCCCAGCTGCCAGTATTTTGATATGATCTTCTGAAGCATGAAGCAATGTGAACACCTCCTGAAGGTATTGAGGAGAAAAAAGGTGATGGTCCCTTCTCTGTCCTGTTTGCAGGCATTGCAAACGATGGGCTTGGCCTTGTTCCTGCAGAATGCTCCAAGTGATTGGACCATCCCGCATCACCTGTCCCTTGTGTAAGAATTCGGTAAGAAAAACACCTTTGACTACAAGACCATCACGAAGTGGTTGGCACATAGCGTCCTCGAGATCCTGTGGGAAAAGGAGATGGTGTATCCTGTCCCATGGTTCCCTGAGCAGACTGTCAAAGTCATCAAGAATGCGTCATCACCGGAACTTTCCAACAAGCACCAAAATGTAGCTTGGCTGGTGGTGAGAAGAGCACATAGAACTTTCCAACAAGCACCAAGACATAGCTTAGCTGGTGATGAGAAGGGCACTGCCGGTCAGATTCTTCACGTATACCCAGACACATGCCGTTGAAGTGACTGTGGGGTGTGAGCTGGATGCCTTTCCAAAGAAGGTCTGGAGAGACATGCAATGGTTTTTATCGAGGTTTGACTTGAGCAGGTCCATGAAGCAGGATTCTGGGCTCTGTGGGCTGTTTCCCAGACCCACACTGAGACAAACACCAGCTGTGCTTGGAAGACCGTAAACTCAGTGAAATTTGCTGTTTGGTCTGCCTTAAACATTGTTGGTCTTCCAGTGCAAAGAGTTGACCTCAACCGAGTTTTTTAGACTGGCACATTCCAACGTCCAGGACTACATGCTGAGAGACACATTAAGCTTGGGGCAGCTGCCACCAAGGCGCAGAGGAGAAATATCACCGTCTAACATCTTTTCTGCCAACGTATAATGGGTGTCTGTTCAGTAGTCAGACCTTCTCATTGCCTCAATGCATGTAAATTGTGTCCTGCATAAGTAAGACATTTCTTTGGCCTTTGCAACTGCAGGGAATGTCTGATCCAAGGCTTGTTTTCCTCGATATGCAAAGACCTTTCAGAACTGCCTTAGTACCTGTATATGAACTTAAAGATTTTTCATGAATGAATGCATATTTCTGCAAAACAAAGAGTTTCATCAGGCAGATTTCTGGAATGAAGGATTAACTTATCAAGAACGGCTAAACAGGCTAGTCCTTTATTCATTAGAGTTTAGAAGAATGAGGGATGATCTTATTGAAATGTGCAAGATTCTAAGGCTAAATGTTGAGAAGTTGTATGCACTGGTTGTGAAATGACAAACTAGGGAACATTGTTATAGAATAATGGGGACATTCATTTAAAACTGAGATGCAAAGGAATTTCTTCTCTCAGAATCTCTGTGAAGACTCTGTAATTCTACACCCAAGAGGGTTGTGGAGTTTAGATCACTGAAAGTGTTTAAATATAGATATTCAAAATATCAGGACATTGAGGGCTTTGAGGAGCTGATATAAAAGAAGTGTTGAGGCATGAGGTAGATCAGCCATGACCTAATAGAATGGAGGCTTAAAGGGCTAAATAGCTTCTTTGTCCTATTTCTTATTATTACTCTGGTTACATGTTAATTATCTGTGTTGCTAATTGCTGTATTTTTCTGATTAACAGCATATAAACTTGTGGTGAGTTCACAGCAATATTTGAGACCGAAAAAGATAGATTCAAGTTTCATATGTAGGTTCATCATCAAATTAGGACTCTGACTCTCAAATTTTAAGAGGAACTTGCTACGGGATAACCGCAGAAATGCTACGACAGAATAGATCATGGATCTAAATCAAATGGCTGGATTTTAGCAAATTACTTTGCATGTTCTTCCTTTCAGTGACTACAGTGATGCCGAGAAGTTTTATGGCTCAATAGAGCGTCCAGTGCAGATAAAATACACAGCAAGAGAATTAGAATCTGGAGGTAGGTGGTTAGCATTTTGCTTTCCTGCTATATTTGCTGTAGTGTTCTGGGAAATGATGGGGCATGTATTTCACAGCTGGTGTTGGGACCAATACTATCAACTATGTGGTTCAAATTCCACAAGGCCACTGCCAATAGCATTGCTGTGACGCATGCATCTGATGATAGAATGATGATCATCTTCTGTGGCAGTCAGGTGAATTCTGTGTATCTCTCTATCCCTGTCCTGATGCAAAGTAGCTTGGTTATTGAAATTAATCCAGCAGAACAGTGGAATGTCAGCTACCAAGACCTGCCAAATACAATATTTCCCCCTCCACCTGCTTCCTCCAATGGCCCAGATGTTGTGGTCAGTAGTTAAAGGGCAGCACTAATTGTTGTCCTGAAATAAAGATGCGCACAAAGATTTAGCAGGCTGTACAGATTGAAACTGATGTTGAAAATGGTGCAATTTGGTGCCATCTGCAGGAAATCTGTAGTGTATGGAAACAAGGCAGGCAGCAGGAAGTCTGATACACTAGTCAAATGGAAAAGTTCTCACAAAGTAGGAAGGAAATAAACATTGGAACACATATATGGGTCAATAGGAGAAAGAAGATTTTGAAAAACAAAATTATTCAACGAAAAGCACAGTGGCTCAGTGGTTAGCACTGCTGCTTCACAGCGCCAGGGACCTGGGTTTGATCCCACCCTCCACACCCTGTCTGTGTGGAGTTTGCACATTCTCCCAGTGTCTGTGTGGATTTCTTTCAGGCTCTCTGGTTTCCTCCCATAGTCCAAAGAGGTGCCGGATAGGTGAATTGGCCATGCTAAATTGCCCATAGGGTCCAGGGATGTTTAGGTTAGACATGCGGGGGTAGGGGACTGAGTTGAGATGGGATGGTCTTCGGAGGGGTGGTGTGGACTTGTTGGGCTGAATGGCCTGTTTCCACACTGTAGGGATTCTATGATCTGCAACATTTAGGTGTTCTTCTAAGGGAATGCAACTCCACACCTGAGTTTTACAGAGCCAGAGAACTTGTTCAGCAGCAACCATGGCTTCATGTCCCATTAGAAACTCAGCAACCTGTGACCGATAAGAGCTTAACATTTAAATCTTTTCAATAACAAGACTGTGTAAATACTTGAGGTTCACCATAAATGTGAAAGATGATTCAATGTGTAAAGATTGCAACAGTGCCCTCTAAAGGTATTGTTGACAAAAATCTTTTGGATTTCTGCATTGTATAGATGCCAGTGGTTACTGTCAGTTTTACCCAGTGTTAATGGTTATGTGGTCATTAAAACCACAAATTCTGGCCAATATTTACTCCAAAGAGATGCCGCTTTGGAATATCAGCCTTCCAGAATTGTCCTGGTATCCCTAGGAATTGATAACTAATCTTCAGAACTCTGCTGCAAGCATTTCCAGGGAGGGGCATTACATTTTTAACTTTTGTTTTAACATTTGTTTATTAGTCCATAACCTGAATTTTGTTGAAAAGTGGAACATCTCTCAGTTAAACTTATTCATTATAGAAATATTGTGGTTAAGATATAAGGTTGATTACATGATCCTTGACAGGCAACCAACTAAGCAAACCTGCTCACTTTCCAAATGAGGATGGGTGTACCAGGCAACCTACGGAGGGAATGTGGAGGCAGTCGGAAGTCATATGACAACATTTCCCAGGATGTGTCCAACTAGAATTGTCCAGCCTACTGCTGCATGAGAAGAGATAATAAATTTACATAGTTCTATGGTTACGGTTTCCAATTCTGGAACTCCCTCTCAACAGCACTACCTACAGCAGTTCAAAAAGGTGGCACAACACCACCTTCTCAAGACAATTAGGGATGAGCAATAAGACCATAAGATACAGGAGCAGGATTAGGCCATTTGGTCCATCGATTCTGCAGTGCCATTTGATCATGGCTCATATGTTTCTCGACCCTGTTCTCCTGCCTTCTCCCCATAATTTTTGATCCCTTTACTAATCAAGAATTTATCTGTCCTAAAAACATTCAATGACTTGGCCTCCACAGTCTTCTGCAGCAATGAATTCCGCAGATTCACCACCCTCTGGCTGTAGAAATCCCTCCTCATCCCTTCGCTCTGAGGCTGCCCCCTCTGTTCCTAGTTTCTCCTACTATTCGAAACATCCACTCCTCATCCATCCTATCCAGACATCTCAGTGTTCAGTAAGTTTCTGTGAGATGTTTCTCAACACATTGAGTACAGACCCAGAGTCTTCAATGGCTCCTCATATGACAAGCCCTAATTCCCAGGATCATTCTTGTAAACCCCCTCTGAACTTGCTACAAGACCTTGCTGACTGAGAGGACACCCTTCCCAGACTGCTTCACTGTGACACCGTCTGTGAGGACACTTTTCC